TGTGGATACTGGGCCAAGGAACACCACTGAATTTTGGTGTTGTTCCGGATCACGATGAGGATACAGGAATTTATTTTTCTTTTACCCCTCTGAGGTCGAAAGCTGTGATGCATTTACAGGGCTTCTGTAAAAAACAATGAGAGCTTTCAGTGTTCATTTGAAATGGACTGGAAAGCATGGACTTCAAACTTTATAAAAGTAATGTTTTTTTATATAGTTTATTTTTTTTTTATTTACTTCCAAATAAAACCAGATTTAATGATGAATACGTTTTGCCATAACGTGTGCATTTTTACACATTTGGTGCACATTTAGAGAACATTTTGTGACCGGGAAGTGAGTGACGGCACCATTAAACCTATTTTTCTCATTTCCTCAAACACACCACATTTCCGAAACAACCAATCAAAACAGATTGTCGGTATGCTAGTGGAGAGAAGCTTCTGGAGAGGCTTCGGAGACGGACCGAATATGGATTGATTTTGGCATTTTGGAAGCTAGTAGTGGGTTAGTTTTCAGACCAGACGTGTGTTAGAGTGTGTGAGTGTGTGTGTGTGTGCAGTGTTTGTAGTAGTGTTGTTAGTCTGTGTGTCAAAATAAGATATCATTTGACTGTGGAGGAAGCTCTGAGTGCTGAGTTGAGCTGGGATGAAGAAAGGAGGAAGAGGAGCAACACGGTGCGCCGGTGCGGTGGACTTAAGACTCGGAGTTTAGTTGTTTTTTTGTTTATTTATTTGTTTATTTGTTTATTTGGCATGGAATATGTAAAAAAAAATATAATCGTAACAGAGGCAAACTGCACCACATGATTACACAAGCTGATTTCATCTCCAGAGGAAGAGGAGGAGAGAGGAGGAGGACAAGTTGCCCACCCACTCTGTCAGGCCTACAACAAATTTGGACCAGAACCAGAACCAGATCCTGCTGCTGGCTGCAGCAGCAGAGACAGCAGCTGAAACAGGTGATGGGACATATAAAAGAAAGCAGACACAACCCCTGTTGTAGTAATTGTAGCCATTTTCAGCCTAGGAGACCACCAGGAGTGCATGTCTGCTGTCCCCCCAGTCCAAAATACTCTTTTTTTGTTGTTTTTTTGCTTTTGATACAGTCAAGACCATCTGTGATAACACCAACAAACATGCTGTAAAAAAACAAACAAAAAAAAACCCAAAAAAAAAAAAAAAAAAAACAAGCCAGTGGACAAAAATATAAATGGGCTCATATAGACACAGAGGAGTTATATGAATCTTTAGGTCTCCTGATCTATACGTCTATGTTTCAACTACAAATGTTCAGGACTTATGGTTGTAAAAAACAAAAACAAAAACAAAAAACAAAACATGACACATAAGGTTGGAGAGAATTAGTGGAGAAGTAATTGTGACACATTTAGTAAATTGTTGTAAAAAAATGCCTGGGAATTTGCACACAATTTAATGTAAAAACGTGGATTTAATTTTGTTTTTTGCTAACTTTTTACACATGTTCATAAAATGTACACTTTATGTTTTCATTATAGGTTAGAAAAATGGTTCATTATTAGCCAAATTTTTCTTACTCAGATTTTGTTTTTTGTGTGTTCTTTTGGTTCACTGTGATAAAGCATGTTTCTCAAAATGAAACAAACACTCTAAAATCATAAAGCTGAGGTTGTGCTGAAAATAATGATACCAAACACGGCAAGGTAATTTGTTTTTAAAGTGAAAATATAGAGGTAAATTCAAAGTTAGTCAAAAACAGCTATTTAGACCCCAGACCTCAGAGGGTTAATTTGAGCGAATCAGCCAGGCTATGCAGTGTCATTAGGTCAGACGCATGCCTGTAGGAAACAGGATGTACATGTCGCAAACTCGCTGGGACTACACATCCCAGGATGTCTACTACCAGGAAAGTTGTGATTATTCTGTTATCAACTACTTCTGGTGATATTACATGCTGTCTGGAGACATACAAAAAGAAATGTGATTATCCTCACATTATGGGAATAACAGGACACCGACAGCAGGAGGAGGGTCCTGCTGCAGCCGAGCCGAACCTGCACTGTCCAGAACAGCTGATCAACCTGGTCCCCCTCCACATAAGAATGTTATTGTGTGATTGCTCTGAAGTTCGTGGGAGTGTTTGTGCTGAAAGCGTTCACACGTTGTATTTTGCTTCTATCACTCGCTTCAAAATAAAAAATTAATAAATAAATAATAAAAAAAAACACTCGCTTCCAGAGCAATTGTACCAGGAGGCACTTTATAAAGACAGTCAAACCATTACAAACTCATAAAAGGGGATAAAACAGACGTTTTACACAGTGGAATGTGACTGATGAAAACTTAGGAGCTTAATCCGACACCAGTTTGACGATGAATAATGTCGGGTGACGAGTCCAAATTTTATTTTATTTTTTGCACATTGGACTCCACCGGAAGGAAATCTCGTGCATACTGCCTGCTTAAGTGTTCGCTATGTCAGAACTTATTCATTAAATGTGTTTCCATCTCTGTTTTTGCACATTAACACTATTACAGGATGGGGCAAATTGGTCTTGGCGGAGGTTTGCTCTCTCCGAATGCTTCTAGGTTTTTTTTTTTTGTGCCAACATCACCAAAGCTTACATGATACATTACAGTTGACTGCATGTCCGTCAGYAGAATATTTCACAAACTAATACGCAGACAAATTTTCACTGAAATTTTCAGAAAGTAATCACTGGATGTGCGTCCATAACTCAATAGTGTTCGTTCAACCTGARTACGAATACAAGTACCTCAGAATGAATACTTGCCAACACCAAATAGTGATACCAAGTACTTACTGAATTAGAAATGAAACATTACACAGTGACTTTCAAAAACACATTTCTGTTATTTAAAACAAGGAGGCTCTCCTTCTTTATAGGCCTGCAGCCCCTCTGACTSAATCGAATTAAATATACAGTCTGATACTGCTGAAACATTTACAATTAAATAAAAATAACAAGTAAGATTTTCTTTCAACTTGTATAAATTTCTTAAGCATGGAACTGACAAACTTCACTTAAATCACTGATACTCCTATTAGCCCGAAGTATCTGGGCACTTTTTTAAGGATACCGCTACTTAGAGCATTAACAGATCATGCAGGTTATTGCAATATTGCATGAGATTGAGCACAGATTTAGAGATGTGATTGAAACTATGTATCAAATCCAAAATAATTAACAGGTAATTACAGGCCTTTTAATAATTTATTTAGAATAATCACATTTTAATTGCAGTCTTATCAAGCAGCAATATTTGACACAATAATCAAGGATTTTCATTTCTAATAAATTATGATTAATGGCTGAATCAGTGAATACTAGAGTGAACTTAAGGRAAAAAATGCTTTTGTTTCTCTTATCTTTAGATGATCTTTTAAATCTCTAACATGAAAAGTAGCTTGCAATATGAATTTTTTTAAGAAACGCCAGGTTTTTAATTTTAACCCAAAAATTACCCCTTCAGTTTTTCTTCCAACTTTTCCTCACAGGATGTTTATTTTTTAAGTTTTTTTTTATTATATGTGCTTCACACATTTTACTTTCAGTTTCTCCATCATTCTTTTTTCCTCTTKAATTTCTTTCCTCGCTTTTCATCAAGCAGACACAGAACTGAATACCTTCCCTCTCACATGAAATATGCCTTTTTGGCTTCTTTTTTTTAACATACTTTTTTATCTTTTTCTCTGAATATGGGACGTGGGAGGCATGCTGCCTATTTTTACCTAAACGAGAGTGCAATTTTCTTCTAGAAGAATCTGCCCTGGGATTCTTTCATAATGGTTCTATAACTGCCAGCTTCATACAGTTTGTTTATTCAATGTATTTACTGAATGACTGGTGGCTATTTACCCTGTAGCATTTCCGTGCCAAAGCAGCAGGGTTCAGGCAAATTGGCATAGCAGGTGCTCTATGGAAGACAAACCAATCTGTTCTGATAGGTATTTCAGCCAAAAAAAATGTATTCATTAAAGGCAAAAAAAATAAAATAAAATAAAATTATAGCCGCGGTCCGGCCTAATCACCACTGAGAAGARTATAGTGTGTTTCCTGCTCACGTTAGAGGGATAACAGGTACACATAGACAGAATAGATGATTTAATTGTAAAAGGGTGCAGCAAAGAGAGAAGACATACCTCTGCAGACGTTGCAGCATCTGCCCTCAGGTAAGATCTGTTCGCTAAGGCTACAGTTAATCTCTGGACACCTTTCTGTGACTTTCACCATCAGGCCATTCTAGGAGGATGAGACACAGGCAGGAAATTACAATTACAATCCTTGGGTCATCAGCATGAAGGTCTAAGCAGCACAAAAATACTTGTTTTGCACTGGAAAAACATACAATTATCAAACCTGATTGGTTACAAGGTTTCCACCTGGAACCCATTTCATTTGTCTTCAATATGCTTATTAAAAACAGCATCAGGATATAATRTATGTGAGAGGATAACACGTTGACTTTTATTTGATTTGACTATTGTTTTCCTAAAAATGGGCCAAATTAAATAATGTAGCTTTAGCATATCATCAGCAGGAGATGATCCTTATGAAACACAATGAACTCTGCAGTATGAAGGATTTCTTCCAACGTTACAGAGGTGAGTTAAAAAACTTGTGGCAGAATAAGGCCGACAAGAGAATTAAGAAACAGGGAGGGAGGAACTGCAATTAGAGAAGGGCAAAGACAATAACATTTAAAGCTCATTCCTAAAAAGGAACACAAGCGTTACATCAAACTTCTCACCTGAGGTTTCAGGTATTGACCCAAATCTATAAGAAGTTTATGTCCTTCACAAAATCCCTTAGCGCTGTTTTTATAAAAGAAAGTCATGAAGTCAATGGTAAAATACACTGCTACTATGAGACCTTTGTTTGATTTTTTTTTCCAGAAATATCTTTACATTTAGCAGATTAAAGCTTTAAAATGTTTATTGGATCTAAATGGTACACAACTTTTAGGTCTTTGTTGACACAGAATTATAAAGACTACATATAAGCTGTCATCAAGACACAAACAAGAATCCATAGGAATCCATAAAAAGCTTGAGTGAAAATTTTATTGTTTGCTTTTTTCGCCTAATACTGAAAAATTGAAACTTTACCATGCAACTAAACTCATTGCTGATATAAAAAAAGATTCAAATGTATTCAAATCTGGTATTTGTATGTCATACTTATGCTGTGATAAATTAAAAAAAATATTAACTCAAATTAAATTAAAATGAGGCTGCAATGACAGAAATAGTTATTATTTTATAGATGTTAGCTATTTATGTCCTATAATAAAAACTAACATGTACATAGTTGGTAAATGACCTGGCAATTTTATTTGGAGCAAACACAATTTAGTTTAGTATGTAAACTATAATCAGATTGGCTTAGAATATAGCTAACTGAGCTAAAAAAGTACTTCTGAAATAAATCAATTATTTTGAAACAGATTTATAGTTTAAGGCCTTGAAGATTCAAAACACTGTTATCGACCACTTCTGTTAGTCWGAATGATGAAGGGAATCCATCCATAAATACTAAACAGACCTCCGTGTTAGCAGTTTTCTATTTCAGCCTTTTGCCTTCACCCTATTTTACACATCAGAGAATGCCTTCATTACAGCAGAGAATRCCTTCATTATTACTATTACAGCTCTACACCTATCTCCTGTTGTGAGTATAGGAGCAGTCAGAAGACACACTTCCTAATTTGACATGCCACATGCAATCAGGATCACGCTCTCAGATGCATATCTTAGATTTTATGGCCTGTTATGTTCTTAAACAGCTGCATCTTCAAGGAGAAAACAAATATACATTCAATAAGAAAAAAAAAACCATCTAAAAATAAGGCTGTGCAAAGTGGTCATTAAGCAGCATCCACAAGTAAAAATGCTTTAATTGTTTGAAACAAAGTCTTCCGGTATAATGAAATTCAAGGCATTCAGAGGAATAATAAAGAGTTCTGGAATCCTCTGTGTGCCTCTTTGTCAGCAATTGCATTTATAGAAAGGCAATTTCCTACTAAAAATATTATCTTTGAAGATAAACAGCGTCTCAGTGAGAGAAGCTCACCTCCGTTCTGTTCAAAGCTGGAATAATGACCACCATTATAATCCATGCAATGATGAAGTTCCAATTCAGATCAGACCTTTGTTTTGCTGTGTTCATAAGTTATTCTAATTACTTGGCTATCTCCCCATTAGAGCAGGGGGGRAAAAAGGCAGATTGAACAGATTGCAGCAGGCTGGGAAAACTAATAAGGCCTGCTGGCTAATTGAATTCCACACCGAGCAGTCTACCACATACGATTACTGCACGTTTCCACTGAAAGGATGTGCCTGGTGATATGATCGTTAAATAGATGATAAATGYCAGTGTAAGGATTGCCCAATAAAAAAAATAATAATAAAGTGATACCTTGCATTCCCTGCAGCTCTTGGATAGAAAGCGTTGGCCTTTAGAAAATGTCTGTCCCATGTAGGTACATTTAGCTGTGGACAAGAAAACACAATTTACAAGTTTTAATATTTTTTACAGTAACTTTGGGAAGTTAACATAACCTCACGTACTGTCAACAGCAGTGAGAAATGCTTTTGAGTTTGCCTGAGGAAAGAAAAAGTTCCCAGTGTGAAGTTTTACATTGTTAATTTGTCTCCAGACAAAGCTCTTCTTAGCTAATGTGCATAAGCGGAGGGGAAACGTAACAGCACATTAACAATACAACAGACGAAGGCCTTTATGTATTTCCCTGTGGTGATAAATCAGAAATAGCAGGCGAAACACATGGTACGAAGTCCTGCTTCCCTCCTCTCTTGGGTGCTGGGCCGCAGCTCGCTCAGTCACAGCTCAGGAGCCCTGCTGCCTCGTTCATCTGTGCCACAGCTCCCACGTTCACAGGGGAACGAAAGGAGAAACGAGCGCAGGGAGAGAGAAGGCGAGAAATTATTCAAATGCTTTATACTTTAGGGATTTTGAGCGTTGCAGAGCGCGGTGTAGAAGGAGAGGCTCGGCCTTCTGTGAGAACGCACCGGACCCCGCGTGTGCCCACGGCTTCATATAAGGCTTCCGTTTCAGTGTGAATGAAGACAGCTGTGACCTTTGCTCCTGCAGATGGTTTGGTCTTGTATCGTTGTTCTTGCAGAACGTCACCCGCATACAACAACCCCCATGTGCATCTACAGAAAGTCTGATTAAAAGGCACGGTTTCAAAAGATCTCTGCCAAGGTTGCCCTTTGTCACCGATTTTGTTCATAACTTTTATGGACAGAATTTCTAGGCGCAGCCGAGGTGTTGAGGGGATCCTTTTTGGTGACCTTAGGATCACACCTCTGCTTTTTGCAGATGATGTGGTCCTATTGGCTTCATCAGATCGTGATCTCCAGCTCTCACTGGAGCAGTTCACCGCCGAGTGTGAAGCGGCCGGGATGAGGATCAGTGCCTCCAAACCTGAGACCATGGTCTTGAGCTAGAAACAGGTGGCGTGCCACCTCCGGGTCAGGGAGGAGGTCCTGCCCTGAGTGGAGGAGTTTAAGTATCTCGGGGTCTTGCTCACGAATAAGGGAAGAATGGAGCAGGAGATCAACAGGCAGATTGGTGCTGAGTCTGCAGTGAYGYRGGCGCTGTATCGGTCTGTCATGGTGAAGCGAGAGCTGAGCCAGAAGGCAAAGCTCGTGGTTTACCGGTCGGTCTACGTTCCTACCCTCATCTATGGTCACGAGCTTTGGGTAGTGACCGAAAGAACAAGATCGCTGATACAAGCGGCTGAAATGAGAGTCCTTCGCAGGGTGTCTGGGCTCTCCCTTAGAGATAGGGTGAGAAGCTTGGTCATCTGGGAGGGACGCAGAGTAGAGCCGCTGCTCCTCCAAGTCGAGAGGAGCCAGTTGAGGTGGTTCATCTGGTTAGGATGCCTCCTGGACACCTCCCTGGTGAGGTGTTCCAGGCGTTTCCCACTGGGAGGAGGTCCAGAAGATTACCCAGGACACGCTGGAGGGACTATGTTTCTCGGCTGGCCTGGGAATGCCTTGGGATTCCCCCAGAGGAGCTGGCCCAAGTGGCTGGGGAGAGGGAAGTCTGGGTCTCTCTGCTCAGGCTGCTGCCCCCGWGACCTGATCCCTGATAAGCGGCAGAAAATGGACGGACGGTTTCAAAAGATTGAACTATAGTAAAATTATAAAGTTCATTGCGGTTTTAGGACTGAGGAATAAAGCTGTCTTTGTGTTGTCCACCAATAAAAGCAAAATGTCCATACATGTGTTTGTTACAGTATCTCATAGACCAGTGGAAACATTGCATACATAAAGTTGTATGGATTGTATGGATATTGCACATATGCATATGTATAGGAAAAAGCTCACAGTATTTTTTTTTAAATTCAGGTTTTAACTTATTTTACATCTCAGAGCTGGCTTATAAGGAAATACTAAGTTTGTCCAAATGACATTATCCCGCCATGGACATCCCCCGCCTTATTGTTTTGTACGAGTAGACTTTTTTTTTTTTTTTTGTAAAATTGACAGATTTTGGAAAATCAGTAAACAAGTAAATGTCCAAAGGGTTTGGCATGTATGACCCTGCAATAAAACCCTTGGAAAATAATCACAGCATGAATATCTATAACTTAATAACTTGTGAAGTAAACCTAGTTCAGGATGTCTAAAAATAGCTTACTGGATTCAAAAAGGACACATAAAAGGCTGTAATCAGTTCACTTTAGAAATAATCTAAATTTGATGTGGTAGTGACTGAGCATCATTGTTGCATTGCTAGAATGAGTGGATGCACTGCTTGAGTTTAAAGATGCTCATGAATAGTTACTGTGTGTACAAGACACTCATTAAAAACTAGAGTTGTGCTAAAAGCTAACAAACAACCGCAACTCATTTATGAAAGTAAACCAATTAAATATTTTCTACAAACATTTATTTAATTGACTTGGTTCAGCTTCACAGCCATGTTGTGGCCTTTGAACTTGGTATAACATTTTACCTTTTCAATATTTAATTATGGTGAGTTGAAATTAACTGGACAAGACATTTAGTTCTGCTGTCCAGCCAGTGGGAGCTACACCTGTACAGAAGTAAAAAAATTCAAAATAATACAAGTGCACTGTCAATAGGTGGTGAGGCAGTGGAGATGCTTAATGTTTATTGATTATCAAGAGCAGAAAAGCATTCTTTAAAGGTGTTTAACGGTAACACCTACAGCATAAACGATACTGAAAGTGTACAGACTCTAGTGTTTGAGCAACATGCAGCTAATTCAAAGTTTGACCTGAGGCTATTTGTGCAGAGTGAAAGGTACTTTTCTTACACAGTCTTGTACTGGAGAATAAAACAGATTTGCTTCTGGCATGCTACATCTGGGCGGCTGATACTCACGTCTGCATGTTTTGCAACACATCCCATCAACATGTACAGGCAGCATGTCTTCTGAGCAGTTTGCTGGTGGACAGAAGATTCTGCGGCACTCCACCACACCATTCTGTAGAAAACAGATTATTTTAGTAAGACAAACATGCATCCAAAAATCAATGTGGGGTATTTTATTTGTCTTTTCACCTTCTTGTGGTTTTTAACAAACACTGATATATTGTGCCATCTATTTATTTGTTTTATCTTAAGAACAGCTTTGGTCAATGCAAGGTGCTGTTGGAAGGTGCCATTTAAAAAACTTCACTATTATTATTATTATTATTATTTATTTTCAGACCCAAAAATCTGTGTTCAACATGTGAACTGTGTGAAGTGGATCAAAATAATCTGTTTAATTCAAAGTGAAGCAGTTTAAACATATTTAGTTAATAACACTCCTAATCATTATTCTCCCTCCTCCGTGCTTTGCTACTACATCCCATTAGGTAGAAAGATAAAATAAAGTGTTTTCTATCCCATTTTAGCAGCACAAGCTTATGTTTATACTAGTGCTGAGCATGTTAACGCGGCAGCCGAAACTTAATGGCGATATTTTTTAACGCGCATTAACGCAGTTTCTTTATATTTCTCTGTTCTCTGTGCTGCCTGTGAAGATGCACACACACAGAAACACACAGACTCTCAGTAGTCGCAGCACGGAGGCGGGATCTTGATCACTATTGGCTTTAGACAGCCTTCATCATGCGTCTCAKCCAAGTAGTAAGAAGTAAAGTTATCTGTAAGCGCTGCAACGTTAAACTGTCTCACCACCAGAGCAGTCYGATCCTAAAATATCACTTCAGTTCAAAACCAGTGTAAACAAACAGAGGGAGGTTCTGCTGACCAGCGTGTGGGAGAAAGAGGAAGATCTGTCTTTGCATGTTTAAAGTTTTTGAAAATGCATTGCCCCTTTTTTATAYAAAAAAGTACCTAAAATGCTCTAAACCTATTTGAATCAGTTAAATTTTATGCAGAATAATGAAATTAAATGAAGATTTCAAGGATTTTTTTGTCATTCCAAATGAGTTTTATGAGGAATGAAAGATAGATGAGGCCCACTGTCAGGAAAAAAACACCAGAAGCAATAAGAAGTTAAAATGGAAAACAAAAGAAAAACTGTACATAATGTGTCACACGTTTATTGCAACATACAAATGTACACATTCAGCCATAGTAGAGTAATCGTTTCTAAAAAAAATGAAATTAATCGCGATTAATCGCAAAAACATCTTGATATTAATCAGGATTAAAATTTTTAATCTATGCCCAGCACTAGTTTATACTCATTTGTCTTGACAATATTTTGATCTCAGTCACAGTTTTCCTTTTAATTGTGCCAAAGGATGACAGATTTTTATTTGACCTTTAATACATGCACTTACAAGACAACCTTTGCCCTGTTTGTTATATATGATTGCATCAACATGCTGAAAATATTTCAACGTTACATAAGAAAAACATACAAAGCACGCATTTTATTTTCAGGTTAAAATGTGTTCGTAGGTGAAATTGTGATTTTTGTTGTTTCATGTRTGTTTGTTTTAAATCCACATGGCAAATCTAAACAAAACTAGTGTTTTGATGTCAATTTGGCATCTGAAAACGTGACTTCCACAAGTGAAGTTTTTTTTCTTGTATTATGCACAAACCGAGATATTTCTGAAGCGTTCTTATAGAGCTAGACTGCCATTTTAGCATGTCTGCCTCTGCAGCCCTGATCACTGATACTATGGCTGCGTCTTTACCTCCTGATTGCTGCTGCTGTGTATCACTGATTGATGAGGAGTCACCCCCTTCCTTTCTTTCTCTGTGAAGTCTGGCATGCAGGTTTTTTTATGTGCCAACTGTCGTATTAGAGTTTTATTTTAGTTAGCTAGTTTTTYATTGTTATTATTACGTCTTTAAAAGAATTATTTTGTCATCATCTTTCATCCACCACAGCCTACAACCAGTTTATGAATAAATAGTATATTGTATACTCTAAACCGGTCAGATATTTGTTGGTAAAGTTATGTTTAGCAAACTTTAGTTTTCTTTTCATTAAGTTTTTTTAATTAATTTAGAATTCTTGTTCTAACTTTGTTTTTTTGTTTTTTTACCTCCAATAAATCCTTCAGCATTTGATTTCTCCTCTGACTCAGAGCAGCAAAGCTGTCAAATTTCCGTTGTTCACACAACGTTTCATTAACATGTTCATGCAAATAGGCTAATTGGAACTCACAAATCAGTCGTGTTTTGTTCCAGTGATCACAGCTCCTAATGTGTGTGATCACAGGTTTGCTCAACTTTGTTTGCCTTGATTTTTTATTTTTTATTATTATTATTTTTTGCTTCTAGGCAAGGATTTGTGCACTGCAGTTAAACCTAGTTTAATTCTTATATTTTATGTATATTTAAAAGAATACTGGCAGATATGATTCAGTTAATGAGATGTGATGAAATCTAAAGCAATCAAAAAATAGACTGGTGTGAYTTTGCAGTTTTGTGTGCTACTGAAGAAATTTATTGGGGTTGTTTACTACTGATTTTTAATAGTTKTTTCTTAGGTGAAACACAATACAGTTTTATAAACCATTGTGTGAATACGTTTGTGATTAAATTGATGATTTTATGTTTAGAGACATACATGCCTGATTCACTTTCAACACTTAATTGATCCGTTGTTTTACATTAAGGCAGACAAAGGTCTACAAGGTCCTGGCTCCACCAATAGGGTCACCCTTTTTAGATGATGCAATAACAATAGGAGGAGCCAGGTCCGGAAGAAGGTTATAAATTATCCTGGTTCCCTGTGTCAGGTGCTGAAATCAGAGACGAGCTACAGAGCTAATAAATCCTGCTCTCAGCCCAGCACTGCGTGGCTGTATAACTCTTTTCATATTCAAATATTCAACTGGTTACAAGCACGTATTTAGGTAAAAGAACACGCTAAATTATCGCTTGTCTTTCACTAATTCAAGTGTGATCAGAGCTTTCATCCTAGATTTATTTAGAATGGTCAATCAGTCTGACCATTTTAACAAATGTAAACCGATCATATCTACAACTAAAAGGAAACTAATWTGTCACGGAGACACTGGTCCTGAGCAGCCTGTTGATATCAGGTTATTCAGGCCCTGAAGAAATGCCGTCATTTGTGAGGCTGATATCTCTCTGCGAGTGCCTCTTCATTTCATAAGTCACCAAAAATGATTCCTCCACGATGTTGCGGTTATCAGTTAATGGTATGTCAGYGCAGGAAACCAGATTGACTAAAGTCTTTGCTGTGCTTGATGTGCAATGATGCAGTGAGTCAAATGCCACAGGGCTCAGAATGCCCTGATTACAAGTTTTACCCCTATGTGTAAGTTCATACAGACAGGCAGGTAAGAGAAGCTTATCAGAGGGCATTTGTTAAAGGGGGACGGTTAAACTTAGGGAAAAAAAGGTAATGCAATTGTTGAATGTGAGGCATGATGGAGGCAATTTGTAAGCAATGAGGAAAAACAGGAGTTGTGTTTATTATCTATTAAAGCAAAAAATCTACCATTACATGTACAGTACAGTAAACAGAAAAAGTAAGATAGATATAAACTTTTGAAGGCCCTAATTTATGCATGCTATTAGTAACTAGAAAAAAATCAGCATACAAATTCAAAATTCCTGTTTTTAAGTGTTTTATTTTGAAGGGAAGTGGCTGTTTACTGTAGCCTCTGTGCATTATGCAGCATCAGGAGACTGCAATAATAAGCCACAGTTGTGATCTCAGTAAGAAAACTGATACAGAATGTAGAGGTTTTAACAAGATATGGACTGCTAAGATTATAATTATTGAATTCAGTAACAAAGCAGTGAGTTGGATTGTAGAGAACAGTAAGTTGTTTTAAAGAATTGTAAATAAAATCAGACTAAACACAGAGAAAAAAACTGTACAAAGGAGACCAAGCACATCAGAAGCTTCAATACTCAAATTGTAAATAGGAACACAGTTTGAATATGCAGGAACGAAGCAGTCAAGAATAATTTTGTGATATTAACTCACAAAATATCTAAAAACAGTAGACTTTTCTGTAATGGGGATTTTTTTTAAAGAGCAGAAAAAAACCCTTTCTACACATGAAAGCAGACAAACTCAGAAACAGATCCACTGACTGACGTTCACATGCAGTTGTTCTTCAGACCAATGTCAGATATGCAACACGACTACAGTGCACCTGGTTGGAAACTTTTAAAATCTTTAACTGGATAATTGACTTTAACCTTTTGGTTTCTTATGCGTTACGTTGCTTTTAAGTATAATGGGCCTCATGCAAGAACCGTTCGTACGCACAGATTTGTTCTTAAGTTGTGCG